ACATCTGTGACCTTTGGGGTTGTTCTAGATGGAACTGTCTAGAGTGGGTGACCTGATGATCACAGAGCATTCTGCTGAGTCCTAACTGCCACATGCTCTCTTTGCGACTAGTCAGAATCTTGTTTCGAAGCTCAGCACTTTTGCTCATATTGAGGTTGGACCACTGGCACCAAGGTCCACATGTGGGACTGATCCAAACATGCTCAGGTCGGTCTCTTGCGAGATGACAAAACAGATTGCGGCGTCCGATCTTGGTGCGAAGGTCACCGTCTTCCAAGCCAAATCGTTTGACCTGGAGGCCTTGCTTTGCCCCTTGGCGGGTCAACTCGCTATCCTTGGAACACATAATTTCGAACAGAAAAGCTCTTTGGGGGATGTGGTTTTATCACATTGGCTATGTGCTGGAACTCTTCACGAAATTTGGCAAGGTACTGTGAGCACATGCGGTTATATTCTTGTGGTTGGCGGTCATCAAAATCGAAGTCTAATTCTGCATGTTCCAGGTTGCAGGCGACTTCACTCAAGTGACAAATCTGCTCAATCACTGCCCGATTCACTTCGGCTCCTCCTTGACCATCGTCCAGGGGTTCGGCGTTGCTGGGATCGGTTCGGTCTTGCTTTCGATGTGGTGCATGATGGCCATCAAAGCATTTTCGATTCGGCTCATCCGAAGATCCTGTTGTTGTTGGTGTTCCAAGATCTCCTCGAACTGGTGTTCTTCTGGATCCCACATTGAAGTCTCGACCGGAGCTGCCTGGGATGGTTTCCCAGGTTCCTGAGCAGAAAGGCGCAGGTACTGGTCGGACTTCTTCTTTATGTTCATTGGCATGTTCGGACCTTCCTCCACTCGGAGGGAGACATACCGCAGGAAGGTGCGGTGCTCGGTCTTCTTGCTGTTCTCGTAAGTGGCAACGAACCACTTTGTCCAGCCCTGGTCTTGGAAAGCCTCCTCGAAGGGTTGGCCAAGTTTGGCTTTGCCGAACTTGATGGTCATGGTCTTGAGCGTGCTCATAGGAAGCTGGTCGATGTCCTTCAGATCTTCCTGGGTCTGTTCCCTCTTGATTTCTTCCTGAAAGAGGGCAAGCTTCTGACTGGGAGACATGATGTGTCTCGGCGAGAAGCGGCTGAATCGAATCGGCTTGAGAGCTAGAAGGCTTTGCTGGAACATCCATGTCGGTCGACTGTTTGGGACAAATTCTCTCTTCGGAGAAAGTCACTTCAGTCGTCTCCTCAACTTTTACCATTTCGTTTGGATTGGGCTTAATTAAGTTGGACAATTCTGTTGCACGGCCGGTGACACACTGTTCTGCGTCAATTGGAGATGCGGTTGCGGCAGGCTGACCTTTTGAAATTAGTTCAGCTGTTTGGATCGATTGGATCGGATTCGATCCCTGTACCTGCACAGTGTCTTGGACAGCAAATGCATCCTGCGGCCACAGTTGATTAATGTCCAATAACATTAAATTGCTGGATGATTTGGTGGTTTCAAGGAATTTCCCTAACTTCTTGCTCCACAGGGTGTTATCTTCAGCATCGATGACGGCTTGGATGGTGCGCAAAAATGAACTTGATAGTAGGAATGGCGTTGGGCCAGGAACAATTGCCACTCGAAACCAAGTCCTGTGCACGGGCAAAATCAATGCTACCCTGCTGGTCAGCGTTTGATGATTTCCAAACCTGAAGACAAGGTTACAGGATGTCTTCTTGATCTGTTTCCGAATTGTTTCAGGGATGGACTCAAGAAGCTCTGGGACCTGTTTGCTACCGATAACAGTCTGAGAGGCGCCTAAATCAACCACCAATTGATCCGGTGGAGGCGAAGCATGTGATGGCTTCCTGCGCTGACCACTCAGGGACTGGTGCTATCGATCTAACAGGCGACGGCACCTTAGTCTCACGGTCAGGGCTTCTCGGCGTTTTCCTTAGTCCGAACTGCTTCTGCAGTTTGTCACAGAGTCGGTTCCGGAATCGAACAAATGACGGCTCGACGACGGTAAAACATTCCTCAGAAACTGGCATCTCTGAGTTTCGGGAATTTCTTCCGGGATGTCTTTGAGACAGGCATCGAGTTCGACCACGAAGTAGGTGGGGATCTGTGCTGCTTCGGCGGTCCCGGTCGGCTTTCTCGACGGGCATTCTGCCTTCCAGTGGCCCGTTTGGCCACAGATGCGGCATGTGGAATTAGCAATCCGATGAGCCAATCCCTTAGACTTTCCTTTCACCCCTTTTCCTTTCTTGCCTCCTTTGAAGCCGCGAGATGGCCAGAAACCTCTGGACCGAGATTTTTCCAGCAGCCGTTTGCGAGCTTCTTGATAGCTCACATAGAAGATTGCCAACTCGTCCTCTTGGACTGTGTCCATCAACGCATTCTCGAACTGGAGAATCATCGAAGCATCTTCGTCTTCGGCGGCCAGAATCTCCAAATTGTCTTCTTCCATGGTGTCATCTCCTTCCCAGGCATGGTCCTCGGAATATTCTTCTACTTCATCGACTCCAAGAGCAAGATGATCATACGTTTTCTGGTTCTTCTCACGCTTCCCGGAGGTGAACTCGGTGAAGAAGCTGGAACCTAGCATCCTGATTGCTACCGGCCTTTTCAGCGCCGGACTCAACAAGAACCCGTTTCTTGTCGTCCATGAGTTTGCTGCCCCGGAGGATGATGTAGGCTTGTACTTCCGCCAGATTCACCTTTTTCATCAACAATTCTGTCCATACCACTTCCGACCTGGCCAGATATGAATCAGCGCTTTCGTCAGCTTTCTGGTTGCACCTGAAAAGAGCCTTCTCCACGATGTCGAACTTCTGCTCGAGGCTTACCTGGCCAAATTGACCTCCAACAATTTCCACAATCTTGGCAATGCTCTCAACAGTGCCTGAAAGAAGTTCTTTCTGTTGCAGCTGTAACTTCGCGAATGCTGATCCTTGGCAGTTGAGGATGATCCGGGTTGCTAACTCGTTCAAACGACCTTCAGGCCACACCTTGGTGAGCAACTCAATCTTCTGCGTCCACTGCTCCACACTATCCGTCGATGGATCGAAAGTCGGAATCAGTGAAGCCAGCTGATTGCTAGATCCTGTTGCACTGGTGTCCAGGGTCGTTGAACCTGCAGAGTCCGGCATAGTCTCAAACTCAACTTGTCCAACAATGCAATGTCAACCGCTCCAGCAACGTACGTACAAGAACTCCCTGCGCGATCGTCCAGGTAGCTCCGCTACCAATATCGAAACCACACCGGCTTCGACTTGGTAGGGGGACAGCCGGTGATTGGACTCACGCGAACAAGCAAAATGATATGAATTCTCCTGGTTGAAATCCCTGTTCAACAAAGGGTGCCCTGCACCAAAATGGGTTGAAGCTCCTGCTTCCCTTCCACCGTAGCCCTAAGAGACTGCTTCCTTTTCCACACCAGCCCTGTGATGCTCTGTCAGTCGTTTCCTATGGCTCGCACGAACGAACAGCCACCCACCCACCCTTGAGCTGGCGGCAGGAGACGAGCGATGCTTCTTGGTCAACATGTGACATGCAGCAAAGCCAAAATTGACACCCCCACCATGACATTTCAATCATTTGTCTTGATGCCATTGTGAGGAGCATGTTGCCATGGTCGTGAGCCTTGTGATCTTTGCGGTTCTCGACTGTGTTTGTGAGTCCTCGGGCTGTGTGCTGTGATTGTGGTTGTGTGCTGTGGTTGTGTGTTGTGGTTGTGTGCTGTAAATGTGTCTTTGTGGTTGTGCTGTGGTTTGTGCTGGTTGAGGCCCGGCGGGGAACACTGCCATCCTGCACTTGCGTTTGAGGTGAGGAGGAGGCGGACGAGGCGGAGGGGGAAGCGGAGGAAAGGAGCTGACATAAAATCTAACAACCCTCACCTGACAGGTGAGGAAAACTTGGCGAGGGAATAAACTTGACAAAAAACAACATATATATATATGTAATATAGGTATATAATTGACAATGGTGCTAACAGCGGTATGTTGAGAACTTAAACAGCAAAACAGCACAGGATCTTGCCCAAAGCATGCAAGAAAAGTCAGCATCAACAAGCCCTTCCGACGAAAGCTTTGTCAAATTCCTTCACCCTGATAATCCCTGGTACCTGAGCTACGGCGCCACATTTTCACTTCTTTTGCACCGGCTGACCGCAATGTCGCACTATTTAATTTCAATAATTTCCAGCCGCGCCCCTTTTGCTTTCTCGGAACTGTTTGGGGACAAAGTGTGATGCTGATAATGTACAAATTCTCAAACGCGATCTGCTTTCTTCCATGGCCCCATCAATCCAGGAACCATAGGCCCATAGGCACCACTTTCAAGTCATCCTGAGAAAGCATCGAACCATACCCGAATCCGGCCAACCGACGATTTGCGCGCTTCCGATGGCCGCTAAATTGGCACTCGCCTGACGGGCCTCTCGTCATCTTAGATGAGAGAAAAGGCGAAGACACGTGCAACTGCTCTGTACAGACACATTGAATATTAAACATCATATCATATAACATCATATGACATATAATAATATCCAACTGTGTACACTGTGTGTTGTGTACACTGTGTGTGTACCTTGTCACTACTGAGCTGCACATCATTTACAAACTCTGATGCTGATTCCTTTAATTGGCTCCAGTTCTGCCCCTTTACGGTGGAGAACCGATGCATTTGGCGTTAAGAAGCATGCTCTTTGAGCGAAGTCCTTTCCAGCAAGCGCATTCCTAAGTCTTGTCTCACATCCAATGATTGAGTGTGCGCCTGCTGTCAGGTCTAACCAGGTTGAAGTGAAACAAAGGCTGCCATGATCTGGTCTTCCGAAAAGTCCTTTCAACAGCATCAAGCACCTGCATGGCTTCTAACAGCAGGATTGTCCCCAAAGAAGATAACGTCTGCAAAATTGCTGTTAAACACTATCAAATATCATGAACTATATGGTTTGATGAACATTCGATCTTCTCAGATTCGACTCTGGTGCTCTTTACGGCTCGGGCTTGGCCACTTTGCTCCAATCCTGAGTCGATGACACGGTTCTTCTCAGTGACATCGGAATGTGAATGGATGTGAATGGTTTCAAGCAAAGAAATTCAGAATGGGGTATATAACCAAATGGGGCAAGTGTGGACAAACTAATTGTAAGAGTGGCCACCCAGCTTCCACGGACTCCAACATGACAAAAGCAGGAGGGAACCTGGTTTGAAATCTCAACACCAAACATATAAAATGCATAGCTAAATCACACAAAACCACCTTCAGCCGCTGCTCGGCTATTGTATGTCACCAGGTTCACCAGCAAATGTCCCCAATTAACTTGATGGGATTGGTAACCTGCGCATTCGTTCGCTGCAAGGATGAGGTGCCGACCTTTGCTGCAGCTCATGCGAAGCTAGGCTGCCCAGTGGTATTTAAGAGTCGCTCGAAAACACGGCTATGTAGATCAACCTGGAGCACATGGAAAGCTTCCCCGTAGCATTCAAAGACCTTTCTCCAAATCATTTTATCGCATAGGTGAATACAGCAGAAACGACTCTCCTCATATCACAAATACTCAATCAAATACTCAATCGATTTGGGCAACCTCATCAAGTGGCACTCTGTTCGCTTGAAAAACCTGGCCTTCCTGGCTCCTTTGTCCACGATGGAATGGATGGGAAGCATCACATATCGCTCGTCCACTTTGCCAACACTAATCCCGGTGAATCCAGCCTTGGTAGGTTCTCTGACTTCAGCTCTCTCATGTGCAACATATGCTACAAGCTACCACAATCGCCATTGCATCCTCCAGTTTTTCGTGCGAAGTGTTGGGAAGGATCATTTGGGAGCTTTGAAAAATCACACAAACATGCCTGCCACTCTGTCCATCCCTCCCAATCGCTTGGTTGCGATTATTGGCAAAACACAGCCAGTATCAACTTCTCGTATCTGAAGATTGGAAGGCTCTCATTTCACCTATATATATATATGAGACTACATGGCCACACTGACACTCAACCAAAACCAAAAATATCCACACCGGCCCACACCGGCCAATATCCTTCAGATTTTGGGATCATATCTGCGTACATACATGGATAACTGATAACATCCAGCCACCATCATCCACCAACATCGAACTACTTGACTGCCCCCTGGCGTTCTAAACCAATCTCTCCATGGCTGGTACGTTTGTTGAAGAAAGCAAGCCGCCAATGCGGCATGGACTGCCATCTGCGCCAACACGGAGCAATAAATGCTATCGAAGGCGTTGGCCGGCACAGCCCGGATCATGTAGGTCGGATCAATATACCTCATCAGGATGTGAATTGGCCAGAGTAGTGACAGTAGTGACCACCTGCGATCTCTCCCATGGGTTTTGCATGGCTTTGCTATGTCTGTAGGCGTTCATCACTGAGATTGCACAAAAACCGAGCAGCTTGATGCTGCAAGGCATGTTGAGTTTCTTCAAGTGCTTGGCGATGGCATCCTTCAAGAATGGGCCTTGGGTGGAGTTCAGGGCCTGCGGAATATAAGGAGCGGCTTGAATGTGATCAGACCGAGAGTGTGTGTGTGTGTGTGTCACACCCTGTTTCTAAGGGTTTTGCAACGGTTTTCCCAGCTTTTCACGCAAGCAGGGGGCAGCAGGGAATCCACAGTTCTGCTGCCAACGAAGACAGCTGTGGACATTCCGTGAAGCAGATTGGGACGCCAATCTGTGTACCTGCTGAAAGAACTTTTGCACAAGCTGTCACTCCAATTTTTCTCGCTTTGATTCATGGTGGTTCCACGATACTCCCCCCAAACCTTTTTCCTTCAGCCGCATTCAGCTGCCGCGCGTTCATGAACTGCAGATGTGCACAAACCCTTTTTGAAACATCTTCAAGTGCTCCGACCATTTCACCTTTCGGTTCCATCACCATTTTTCCTGGAAATTGAGTTAACTGAAAACCAATGTCAGAGTGTGAGCCGCTCAGTCTTCCCACTTGGGTGCTGGGTGTGACCCTCCGAAAGGAGGCGCTGTTATCATTCCGGAAAGCATCGGTTTTTCTTCCTTATAACTGATTCTTTGTTTCTCTTTTTCCATAACTGAATTAACGGAGTTTCGAGCCGCCGGGCTATAAACGATGGAATTCCTTTGACAGACTGAATCCACTTGCACCGTCATGTGTCGTTATTGCATGTTCCCAATTTTTAATCCGCAGCCATTTGCTCAGCTTCCACACGTTTTGCGAGATTCCGCATTGCATCTCATGCCACACGTTCACCTTACTTTCCATCACTGACGGTCCACTAGATCTCAAGAACTTTTCAGTTTTCCACTTTACAACCTGTCATTGCTCAGCTGCTGTGCCGCGCCGGCGCCATCTAGTGCAGCCTCCAACCTGTCGGATTGACCTTTCGACCGTCATTCACACGCAGTATCCTTGGCCGTACCCGCAATGGCCATCTCATTGCCCTGTGCCCACGGCGCCGACAGCTGGTTTCCGGTCACCACCGTGGCAGCACTACCCATCAACAGCACCTCTGCATACAGCTCCATTCCACCAACCTCCACCTACCTTCTTGTCACATTGCCCGGCCACTTCACCACACCTGCCGGCCCCTACGTGGCCACACCCTCTACAGCCACACATCCAACATACACCGGCTTTCGTGCCACCTCATCACACCTACCCTGTGTCACATCAGGCGCCAACAATGGAACCAATACCAGTACAACCTCCATCCCACACTTCTCATCCACCGTCATCGCCACCTCCACCACCATCACCACCAGCAGCACCTCTTCCACAGGCTCAGCAGGCACCACAACCGGCACCACAACCAATATCCATCCACTGGGACCACTCTCAAGGCATTTGGCAGCCTTACTCACTCTTTCCACCAGTCGTCCATTCACCACCGCATCATCAGCCAGCACCAACTTTGGCTCCGCACCGCCGGCCGCAGCACCGATGACTTTGGAGGGGCCACCGACCGCTTTTCTATCCGACCCATCGTCGGGCCCAGCAGCCGGACATTTCCTACCGGGGAACCCACTTCCCTATCTCGCTCCATCGGCAACTCATCAGCCAGAACTCTTGCTTCTATCTTGGATGATTGCTACACTCCACAGCATCGTCACCGACCTCCAGCATCACCCAATTGTCACAGATCCCCTTCCTTACCCAGCCTCCTTCACAGACCAACAAGCATACCGTCTCTATCTCCAACTCCGCAATACCCTTCGCCACTTGGGCACGATCAGCACCGACCTATGCCAAGGCATCCGCATCCTCCAATTCCTGCCTGGCTCCCCTGGCTCTCCAGGCCATTATCGCATGGACCCTGCAGCACGTTTCCCCCCAACCAACACCACCAACTTCCTCTCTTCTCCACTCTTACCACCTACGAACAGACCTCCTTCTTTTCCGCCTCAGCACCGCCTCATCACTCACTTGACACCTCGCGCCCGCTCGCGTTCACGCGACAGGACGCCCACAGACAACACCACATCTTCACAACCCCCCTTCAGCAACCACAGCGCTGACCGTCAACCACTCTCAGACATCACGACATCCCACAGTCACCGCAGTCCACTGCACCAATCTCTCTGGACAGCCACTTCTGCACCATCGTCGGCTACTTCACCGACGCCTCCAGCAATATGGTCGATGTCCCCCAATCGCGATCACACTGGTTCATCATTTTAGCCAGTAGTTTCACATCCATACGGACTCTCCACGCTTCAGCGAGAAAAGGTTCGATCCACAGCTGAGATTGGCGGGTTTTTTCACTCACCTCACAATTTGCTACTCATTTTTCACTTCCGGTTACATTTCGTCTTTCCATTATGTTCTTTGATGCTCCGCAGCCGTTTTGCGCACGCTGGCGATTCACCACCACATCGACTTCTCGCCACGCCAGTCGACCACGACTCCCCTGACTGGGATCGCAGCCTCTGTGCTGGAGGAACTCCAAAGCGATCCATATTCGCTGCCTGCTGCTAAGCCTGAAGTGCCTGACCTCCAAGATGTCAAGCTAGAGGAGGTCCACCACACAGACAACAACCTCGAAGACACCAAACCCGATCCAACGGCCATTGTTCCGTCCACAGCTACCACCACCACAGCTTTACCACCGCCTCCCAAAACACCACCGATCCCTCCACCCACCGCACACTCCTCCACTCGAGCAACCAGCAAACCACCTCCTTCTCCTTCACCCACGACTAGCAGTGAAGATCTGGTCATCCTTACGACCAATGTCCCCATCCTCAAGAAATCCCGCCCTGGGCAGCCGCCCCACAGGCTTGCACCCCACTCGGACCCTCCTTCCACCACTGTTCCGCCACCTGCTCTTGCCCAATCTCTCCTCCACCCACAACCTGCTGCCATTGCTCCACCTCCACCGCCTACGCACCGCCGCACTCAAGTTATAGGATTCCCCGACCACGCTGTCATGGCAAAGTCACGCCCTTCCACTTTTCGCACGACATCCTCCAATACCTGGACTCCACCGCTGAACACCTTCCTTCCTCCCCACCGGCTACCGCAGCACCACCCTGTCCAGCGCCACCTCCAGCTTTTCCTCCAGGCACCATTCCACCGCCACCACAACTCGCGCCTCCCGCCCTTTTTCCACCACTACCACCACTTCCACAACTCCCACTCACGGATCAGCAGGCTAGCCAACTTACCGCAGCCATCCTCCGGATCGCTCGCACAGCAGCTGCCGCAGCGGCTGCTCATATGACCGGGCGCTGACAACCTAGCGTTACAGCCTCGCTTGTTTCACCCAGATAACGCCCATCACAGCTACCACAAAAAACCGTATCGTTTCTTTCGCCACAGAATCCATTCGGTTTGCAATATTTCACCATTGATTAACCATGTTGCTCCATCACCTTTCATACTTTCTTACTTTTGTCTTGATTCATGCTTCATGTTCGCACCGCAGCCATTTCGACTGCCCAGCCGCCCCGTTTGCATTTCACGCTTCAGTGCAATGGGCTCGCACCAACCGCCATCCGAGGGCAGTGACACCTCTTTCTGGGCTTCCGCGTTTACCCAAGAAAAAGGCCCAACGTACTATGTGGAGTACTCACGGACATCAACCTGCACCGTTTCACCTTATACCAACACCTTACCACACAGCAAGCTCTTGCAGAGACCCCTCTGTTGCACCAACCTTTTCAAGAATCCATGCCACCCGCACTGCAACACCACATTCAACTCTACACCACCAGCATCAATCAAATCAACGTCCACCTGCGCCGGGCTCTCACCGCCCTCGACGCCCTGGGGCGCCACCCCCCCCAGCGTCTACCTGCAGGAGATGGATAGTACTGCGGACGACGACTCCGCCTCGGAAATTTTGTTCCCGACATTCGAGGAACTGCAACCCGGCCAGCCTATCCACCTGCCACCAGTCACACGGCACAACCTTTCGGCATTTACACCAAGCGCCCGGCTTCTGCAAAACACCTCCGTGCAGACCACCCCCACCCATCTTTCCACCACCCAGTCCATCCAAACCGACAGCATCCTCGAACCACTTCTCTTCCATGAGGAACAACAGACCACTCCTCAACCTGAACCTTGGTCAGCCCCCACCCAAACGGACACTGCAGCTTTTGAGGCCTCTGTCCAAACCGAGATCCACGCGATCGTTCAGTATCCGCCTTTGCCACACCGAAATCTCATACAACACCTCCCACAACATCTGCCGAAACTCCGGCATCCACACCCGCCGTAAATCCGGCACCGCCACCGACCAGTGCCACATCGCTGTCCAACAAGCAACCCAACACCAATCCGGAGCAATGGCACTATGCCGACCTCATCCCCACACCTCAGGTCGACCATCTCCCCGCTCCGGCACAGCCGTACCCCAGCCACGAGCCGCTTCGTCAGCTCCATTTCTACACTACACCCAACACACCGATCACAGCCATCACCTCAACAGATCCCTACCACATCCGGCTATCCGAAGCAGCCCCCACCAGCGCTCCCCACCCAGCACTCCGCCAATCCCGCTCCCGGCTGGCAGCACACACCACCCCCTCCAGTCCAACTTCCCCATGTCTCCCCCACACCTCCAGCCTCGATTCCATCCACACCTCACCCCTGGCCGGCGCCATATCCAGCGCAGACTACTCCACCACCAACCCTCCCAATTCCCACATACACTCCGCAAGCAACCACTGGCCCCCAGTTGGTCACCAACCCCTACCCCATGATGCTCATGGCCGTCATCTGCCGCTTCACGCCCAGAACTACGTCGCAGGGTTGGATCCCTGGAACAACTTCGACTCTAGCGACCAGCCGCACCAGTGAGAGCCCACCTTAGCCTCACGTCCATTGTTCAACTTATGCTCACAACCATCTCTTTCAATTTTTCTACTGAACTATACTTCCACTGGTCATTTTGTTGTGGACTTACAGACTCACAGAGACCTCCGGCCGTTTCACCTCGCACTACGAAAAAACCAGACTATTGTGACCCGAGGCACCATCAGG